CTCCTCCTTCTCCTCCTCCTCCACCTCCTCCTCCTCCTCCTCCTCTTCCTCTTCCTCTTCCTCTTCCTCTTCTTCTTCTTGTCGTCGTCGTCGTTGTAATTGTTGTTGTTGTTGCTGTTGTTATTGTTGTTGTTGTCGTTATTGTTGATGTTGCTGTTGGTGGTGGTGGTGGTATTGGTGTTGTGATGGTGGTATTTTGTTTAGTTTTTGGCTTTTTATATTTTCTGGGTTGTTGGGATTTTTTATAGCTTTGTTATTCTCTAGTTTCGTTTTATATTTTTCAAAAATATATTAATACACAAAAACCTCCTGGTTTTGATGATAAGAGAAGCCACAAAAGATAACTCACAGTACTATCGAACTGTTTATAATGCACGCTGGTCACTGCGTAGAAATACCCTGAATACCTTGGAGTGCCATCTCTGACTCAGAGGTTGACGTGTAATGACCCTCCAGCCCTCACAGTCACCAGCTGCCGTTTCACATTCTGCCGTAGCCACGCCAGTCCATGTCTTAATGTTGTCCGTCCATGTCTTCATTTACCCCTAGCTCTACTACTATGCGTAAGAAGAAGAACTGTTTTATTCTGCAGTCTTATGACAAAAAAACGTATATTATGCGTAATTAGGTCAACTAGCGTTTTTATACAGGGGAGAAAGGCCTTTTTATTGCGTGTCTTTCAACCTTGGTACAATTAAAATAAAAGAAGTTTTTGTGCTTTTGAAAATATACGTTGGGACCTAGTTACATGTTGATATTGTAAGGACAAATTTTTTTTTATTCAATTACTATATACCTCAGCAAATCAGACAACGGTTACATCGGTCAATGAATACGGACATAAAATATTCAGACAGACCACATTTTGGTTAAAGTTGAAACTCACACAACACGTTATTTTTTTTTTTTTTTTCTGCCTTGTAAAAATTGTTTTGGGCATATTACGTTTTTCTGGGAATTGACGTATAGATTTGATTGATTCATCGCTTGGTGTGGGTTTTTCCAGAGATAACGAGGACAACTCGGCACTGCACCATGCCGCGGAGCAGGGCTGGACTCACTCCATGAAGGTGTTGCTGAGCGTGCACTCCAACCTCCGGGATGTCGCCAACGTGGACGGGGTGAGTAAACATATTCTCCTCCTCCCCCTCCCCCTCCACACTACAGTGCGGTCAAAAATTCGTGGCGCAATTTATTGTTAAATATCTCCTGAACTGTCGAACATAAACTCTCCAGCTTTTGCTCAGTGACTTGTATCAATTAGTTTTGACAGATAAATATTTTGTTCTAGAAAATTCTTTAATAAATACTTATTAAAAAATCCCAATGGGTGGTTTCTATTGATTTTTAAAAGGTTTACAGCTAGGACGATATTCCTTTTAAAAGTCCGTCATTCTTTTCTATTCTCGAGGAATATCTTTACTGAACGCATGTTTTGAGAACTTTTAGAGCAAAAAAGTGTTCACTATAAAAATTAATTTCTTGTAACTAGTTTTGTCACTAAAAAGTATTAATTGGTGAGCTGTGTCGTAACCCATTTGCGTATAACAAAATGTGTGTGAGAAGGGGGAAGTGCTGTGAACAATTCCATTTTCCGCGTGAAGGAGATTTGTAGTATTTTATATAAATGTGAGGCAGCGTGGTGGAATCAGGCTCTCGTCAATTTTTTGGCATGTAGAGTTATTGGTTTCATCTTAAAGCTCGTTCCTTTGTCTTTATTTGGATGAAAAAAATATACATTTATCTTGAATACAAGTTAAGATATTTGTAAATGAAGGAGGTGGGGATCACCTGTTTTCACAGATAAAATTAGTGAGAAAAAGGCCGCCAAAGATTAGTTATTTCCTTAGCTTAAGAGTCCGTGGTAACTGAACATTTACATTCTTTGTGCCTCTAATTGGTGTTTTTCAGAAAAATCCAAACAGAAATGAGTTCTTTAATGGGCATGAAAGGTGTTGAGCAAAAAAAAAAATTGATAAAAATTCACAAACCTGAGCAAAAATGCAAGTTTCTTCACTTTGAATATTTTGACGAGAGCCTGATTCCACCACGCTGTCTCACAAATGTATTAAGAAAAGTTCGTATTCTAGCCTCAGCTGCTGTGGAAAAGCATGGTTAAGTTAAGACACACTGAGACAAACTGCTGTGCAAAGCATGGGTGACATTGATTTACCCGTTATAAAGATATGTGAGGATAAATTGCACCACGAATTTTTGACCGCGCTATAGGACAATGTCGCTTTAAAAAGCAAGTCCGTCATTCTTTTCTATTCGCGATATTATCTTTATTTAACGCATGTTTTGAGAACTTTTAGTGCAAAAAATGTGTTCACTATAAAATTTATTTATTTATTCTTGTAACTAGTTTAGCCACTGAAAGGTACCATTGGTGAGCTGTGACGTAACCCATAATATGCGTATAACAAAATGTGTGTGCGAAGCGGGAAGTGCTGTGAACAATTCTATTTTCCGCGTGAAGAAGATTTGAATTTATATACATTAATGAAGAAAAGCTTTTTTAATCTAGCCTCAACTGTCGTGGAAAAGCATGATTAAGTTAATACAAATTGAGACAAACTACTGTGCAAAGTATGGGTGACATTGATTTACCCGTTAAAAAGATATTTGGGGATAAGTTGCACCACTAACTTTGGACAGCACTATAAACTGTTCCTTCTCCACACAGGACACGCCCCTGCACGTAGCCGCCAAGAACGGCCAGACGTCTGCGGTGTCGCTTCTCCTCACAATGGGCGCCAAGCTGCTGAAGAACCACGAAGGGATCGCATTTTATGATTACGTCATCCAGAACAAGCACAGAGAGGTGGCGGTCGCGGTTGTCAACCATGACAGGTATGTTTCTGCTACGCATGTTTCTGCTACGCAAGGAAAGAAATTTTGTTTGAAAGAACATGATGTAACATACGCCAATAAGATCTTTATAGAACATTATTTGTATTGCGCGTTTCTGTGCTCAACAGCAAGCTCTATACGCTTTACAGTTTATATATAATATGAACATCTTACAAGAGTCTGTACAAAAATTGAATTGTAGAAATTTTGCTCTCAAAACAAAATTGGTTTGATCATTTAAGAAGCAGGCTGCTGCGATCTCATGGCCAACCCGGGATGAGAGGGATACAATGTACCACCAGAAAGACAGAGTAGCTTGATAAAAATTCACCACACACGGGAATAGAATTTGCATCTTTTCCATGCGACAGCGAAGTGCCTAACCGCTACACCACAGAAGCCCGAGTGGTGTCGGTAGCCTAGTGGTTAGGATACCGGATTTGTAATCAAGAGATTGCGGGTTCGGGGGTTCGAGCCTCAGCTCGGTCCGACGTTGTGTCCTTGGGAAAAGCACTTTACACGAATTTCCCACTTGGCTCAGTCCTTTCGGAGACGGACTAGGAGGCCCCGCCTCTTTAATAACCTAGTAGTGTTGATAGGGGCATTAAACCCATACCATTTACCATGTCACAGAAGCCCGTCCAGAGTCTGTGATGTAGTGGTTACATTTTATGAAGACATGGCGACGATTCCTGTGTTGGGATATCACTTTATCGGGTATCTCTGCCTTTCTGTTGAGATGATGTATCCAGCTTAGTTCGGATTAGAACTGACAAACAAGGTCGGAAAATTCCGCACTCTTATTAAATATTCATCTGCGCTATTGTATTAATTGTTTATGCCGTGTGAGCAATGCGTCAAGAAGTAACTACCTTGACCGCCACTGCGTCCACAGATGGGAGGAGGTGCTTACCCTACACTCCAACATCTACGGCTGTTTCGTCCTCGGACTCATACAACATCTGCCTGATGTCTGCCTGGTGAGTACCTACCTGAAATTTGATGATGATGTGGATGATGAAAATGTTAAGAAGAAGAAAAAGAAGAAGTTTTAGTTTTAGTAAGTGTTTAACAGCACTTGCAACACAATAAGGTCACAATAGCGCCGCAGATTCGAGGTGTTACAAGAGAGTAACAAACACAATAAAGAAGGAGGGGAGACAACGACTATAGATGTTTGATAGAAAAGAAAAAGTAAACCACACCAGAGCACCCGCCAACCACCCACAGGAAGAAGAAGAAGAAGAAGAAGAAGAAGAAGAAGAAGAAGAAGAAGAAGAAGACGAACAACAACAACAACAACAACAACAACAAGATTTCATGCTCTATGTTTCTATGCATACCTTTGTTCGATTCTCATATATTGTGATGTTGAAAAAAAAAGACATATTATATAGTAACAGATATTAGAATACATAAATGTACCGAATATTCCTTTAAGAAAGTGAGCTTTATGTGCGTTCAAACGCAGTATTACCGTATGCAAACCCAGTAGTACTCCGCAACATTTTCGGGTTCATTTTAGAATGTCAGTATTCTTGTACTTTTGCCAGATCCCTTGAGCTCAAACTTGTTTATTTATTTGGATTGTGTTGTTTGTTTTTTTTGTGTTTTTTTGTTTGGGTTTTTGTGCTTTTTGGGTTTTATTTATTTATGAGGCATCGTGGTGAAATCAGGCACTCGTCAAAATAATCAAAGTGAAGAAACTTTTGTTTTTTGGCTCAACACCTTTCATGCCCATTAAAGAACTCATTTCTGTGTGAATTTTTCTGGAAAACGCTGATTAAAAGCACACAAAAATGTTAATTATCTGTTACCACGGACTCATAAGCTAAGTAAATAACTGATCTTTAGCCACCATTTTCTCACTAATTTTACCTCTGAAAACAGGTGACCCTCCTCATCCTTCTTTAGCAAATATCTCGACTTGTATTCAAGATAAATGGATATTCTTTTTCATCTATATAAAGACAAGTGAACAAGCTTAAGATGATACCAATAACTCTGCATGCCCAAAAATTGACGAGAGCCTGATTCCACCACGATGCCTCATAGTTATTGTTGTTGTTGTTGTTGTTGTTGTTGTTGTTGTTGTTGTTGTTGTTGTTGTTGTTGTTGTTGTTGTTGTTGTTGTTGTTTTTCTAATGTGTTTCTATTTGCATTTGCTTTTCTTTCATCTATCGGATTATTCTGACTTTGGTATCGGGTTCTTTTTTTTCCCAGAACGTGCTTAACCGCTGTCAGACTTACTCGCAGGATGACCCCAGAAGTTCTCAATACCACGTGAGTGTCATGTGTTGTGTGTTTTGAGGTAGTGTGTGTATTGTGTGTTGTGAGGTACGGGGTGTGTTGTGTGTTGTGTGTTGTGAGGTAGTAGGTGTGTTGAGTGTTTTGAGGTAGTGGGTGTGTTGTGTGTTGTGTGTTGTGTGTTTTGAGGTACTGTGTGTGTTGTGTGTTTTGAGGTAGTGGGTGTGTTGTGTGTTGTGTGTTGTGTGTTGTGTGTTGTGAGGTAGTAGGTGTGTTGTGTGTTGTGAGGTACGGGGTGTGTTGTGTGTTGTGAGATAGTGGATGTGCTGTGTGTTGTGTCGTGTCGTAGTGGGTGTGTTGTGTGTCATGTGTTGTGTGTTGTGAGGTAATGAGTGTGTTGTGTGTTGTGACGTAGTTGATGTGCTGTGTGTTGTGACGTAGTTGATGTGCTGTGTGTTTTGTGTTGTGACGTAGTGGATGTGTTGTGTCTTGTGAGGTAGCGGGTGTGTTGTGCGTTGTAAATAAGTGGGTGTGTCGTGTGTTGTGTATTGTGAGTAGTGGATGTGTTGTGTGTTGTGAGGTACTGGGTGTGCTGTGTGTTGTGTGTCGTGTCGTAGAGGATGTGGTGTTGTGTTGCGTTATAGTGAACATGTAGTATGTTAGAATGGGATTATTATGGTTATTGGGAATTTTGGGTTGAGGGAGGGTGGGGATTTAAATGGGGTTTATTGAGGTGATTTTATGTTTGTGATTTTAAGTGAATGTGTATGAGCGTGAGAAAGAAAGAGAGTGAG